CTGCTGTTTAGTGGGGTAGGTGTTAGAGGACGAGGAGAATGTGAAGGTGATGAGATTGTGATCAGAGAGGGGAAATGGGGTGTTTGAGAGGTTATAGGGAGTACAGTGGTGAGAGAAGACAAGGTCTAAGGTATTCCCACCGGAGTGAGTGGAGGACTGTATACACTGCGCTAGTTCAAAAGAAGAGGTTATGTGGAGGAGTTGGGATGTAGCCGGGTTATTGACGTTAATAGGGATGTTGAAGTCTCCGAGGATGATAGTGGGTAGCTCAGAGGAAGTGGTGGTGGCAGTGTGAAGGGTTATTTCTGTAATTAACCTAACCCAGGAACAATCGCTCTCAGGCTGCTGGCACATAGATTGTAGTCCCGTGAGCTGGAAAATCTTTGTGCACGGTGCAGCTGATCAGCTGGTCCTTCAGTCATGAGTTGGTGAGAAGGGCAGCTGTCAGGAATGGACTCAGCACTGGTGGTGGGACTCATCTGCTGTGTGGGCTGCAGTACCAGAGCTGACCAGCGGGTGCTCTCAGCAGCCAGAAGCTCACACGTGCAATCAGCCAAACCTGGGGCTGATTGCAGAAGGGTGTATTTAAGGCATGACCAGACCTGTGATGGCCTGGCTGTCGTGCCAGTTGATTCAGTGCCCACTGTTGTGCCAGTTAATTTGGTGCCTGCTGTCGAGCTTGGTGACCCGGTACCCGCGGTTCTGCTAGATGGCTCGGTGCCCGCTGACATGCCCGGTGACTTGGTGCCCGCTGACTTGCCAGGTGACTCTGTGCCCGCGGTTCTGCTAGATGGCTCGGTGCCCGCTGACATGCCCGGTGACTCGGTGCCCGCTGACTTGCCAGGTGACTCTGTGCCCGCGGTTCTGCTAGATGGCTCGGTGCGGGTGACGTGCCCGGTGACTCGGTGCCGCTGTCGTGCCAGATGACTCGGTGCCCGCTGTCGTGCCTCTGCCCGCTGCACAGCCCGACATGCCAGCCCCTGATGTCCAGCTAAACTGGCCAATATCTGATTCCCAGCCTGCTCCTGGAAATTCTGTGCCCAGTGACCTGCCTTCCTGGGTTCTCCTACACAAAGAGAAGTCTACCAGCAGGAAACCCAGCCAGCCGGTTTTCTCCGGCAGTTGGATATTCAGCCAGTTACCTGACCCGGGCGGTGGAACATTTTGCCCACTAAGGACTGTCTGGAGCGTCCTGAGGCCGCTCCTTGGGGGGGGGGGGTACTGTCAGGAATGGACTCAGCACTGGTGGTGGGACTCATCTGCCGTGTGGACTGCAGTACCAGAGCTGACCAGCGGGTGCTCTCAGCAGCCAGAAGCTCACACGTGCAATCAGCCAAACCTGGGGCTGATTGCAGAAGGGTGTATTTAAGGCATGACCAGGCCTGTGATCTGGGCCTTGGTGTATGTTTTCCCATGAGCCTCTGTACCTGGTATCTTGTGTTCCTGCTTCGTTGCTGACCCGGCTTGATCCTGACCTCTGCTGACCGTCTCCTGTTGAACCCCTGGCTTGCCTGACCATTCTTCTGCCTGATCCCCTGTACCGCGCTGCCCGTGAGTTACTGAACCCGGCTTGTGACCTTGACCATTCTCTGCCTGCTCCTTTGGTACCTTGCTGCCCGCACGTTGCTGACTTGGCCCATCTGACCACGCTAACTACTCTGCCATCCATCCATCCTGCACGGATCCAGCCGTACCTGCACATACCTCTGGCGGATCCCTCTACCACTAGCAGGTGTACTCAGGGGCCGCGACCTGGTTCCTGTCTGCTCCAAGTCCATCCCCACTATCAGGGGCCCTGGTGAATAAGCAGACTGGGACTTAGACTCCGCGCCCTGGGGAATCCTGTCCTGAGGACCGCTAGAGGTACCACCAAACGGTCATTACAGAACTCTACGGCCGGCCTGACCGTTCCACCTCTCCAGCCCTGACTACGCCTGTGTTCCTGCACCTCCTAATATTAGTGGAAGGTTGGTTTGCTCACTGTGCGTTTATATATATCTGGAAGGTTGGTTTGCTCACTGTGCATTTATATATATATCTGGAGGTTGGTTTATTGCTCACTGTGCGTTTATATATATATCTGGGTGGCTAATAAACTGTATTATACTGTACCTGAGGCCTGCGTTTCCCTGTGTCAGTCCACACCTTTCTGGTCACTCCTAGATTCCTGACATCACAGGGGTTGGGGCCTTTCATATTGGCTGACCAGTAAGTGGCTGCACAGGGAAGCCATCTTGACTTGTTGTGAAGGATGCATCCTGATGAGGTTATAATATTTGTCTATGCTAGTCTTTGATGATGACAGAGAATATGCCTATCAGACTCTGCGGGAGTATACCAGGGATCAGCTGCTAGAGTGCACACGGGTCGCTCATTCCCTAGTAGGTCAAGTCCTAGAGCTCTCTGAGGTGCAACCATTGATTCAGGCTTGTGTTGAGTTGGCTTCATCTAGTACCCCTGAAAGCAGGGATGAATTCCTTCCTCCATTCAGGGTGAGTCAAATAATATCACTGGTATGGTTGTTGGAGGATGATCCGGATTGCTTCTTGGAGCATTATTCAGCATGTTCACCACATGTGCTAAAGAAGTGTATAAACGCAGTGCAATCTTTGACCAGACAGGCCTTGTGTAAGCTGAGCGTTGTCCAACCCTTACTGCAGACATGGTCAGACTTGTTACACCCAGCCTCAATCAGCATGCAACGAACCAGTCCTGTTTCTCATCATTCCTCTGCTCAAAGCTCTTTTCCTGTATTCCTGACAGCACCCCCAGTGACAGCCCAGTATACCCTGCTATCTACCACATGTCAGTACCCTGCTCCCACTCGCTGTACCATCGTGCCAGTCGACTCGGTGCCAGTTGACTCGGTGCCCGCTATCGTGCCAGTCGACTCTGTTCCAGTTGACTCGGTGCCCGTTGTCGAGCCAGATGACTTGATGCCTGACGATTCGGTGCCCGCTGTCGTGCCCGTTGACTTGGTGCCCGCTGTTGTACCAGTTGACTCGATGCCAGTTGACTCAGTGCCCGCTGTTGAGCCGGGTGACTTGATGCCTGATGACTCGGTGCCCGCTGTCGTGCCAGTTGACTCTGTGCCCACTGTTGAGCCAGATGACCTGATGCCTGATGACTTGGTGCCCGCTGTCGTGCCAGTTGATTCAGTGCCCACTGTTGTGCCAGTTAATTTGGTGCCTGCTGTCGAGCTTGGTGACCCGGTACCCGCGGTTCTGCTAGATGGCTCGGTGCCCGCTGACATGCCCGGTGACTCGGTGCCCGCTGACTTGCCAGGTGACTCTGTGCCCGCGGTTCTGCTAGATGGCTCGGTGCCCGCTGACATGCCCGGTGACTCGGTGCCCGCTGACTTGCCAGGTGACTCTGTGCCCGCGGTTCTGCTAGATGGCTCGGTGCCGGGCTGACATGCCCGGTGACTCGGTGCCCGCTGTCGTGCCAGATGACTCGGTGCCCGCTGTCGTGCCTCTGCCCGCTGCACAGCCCGACATGCCAGCCCCTGATGTCCAGCTAAACTGGCCAATATCTGATTCCCAGCCTGCTCCTGGAAATTCTGTGCCCAGTGACCTGCCTTCCTGGGTTCTCCTACACAAAGAGAAGTCTACCAGCAGGAAACTCAGCCAGCCGGTTTTCTCCGGCAGTTGGATATTCAGCCAGTTACCTGACCCGGGCGGTGGAACATTTTGCCCACTAAGGACTGTCTGGAGCGTCCTGAGGCCGCTCCTTGGGGGGGGGGGGGGTACTGTCAGGAATGGACTCAGCACTGGTGGTGGGACTCATCTGCCGTGTGGGACTGCAGTACCAGAGCTGACCAGCGGGTGCTCTCAGCAGCCAGAAGCTCACACGTGCAATCAGCCAAACCTGGGGCTGATTGCAGAAGGGTGTATTTAAGGCATGACCAGGCCTGTGATCTGGGCCTTGGTGTATGTTTTCCCATGAGCCTCTGTACCTGGTATCTTGTGTTCCTGCTTCGTTGCTGACCCGGCTTGATCCTGACCTCTGCTGACCGTCTCCTGTTGAACCCCTGGCTTGCCTGACCATTCTTCTGCCTGATCCCCTGTACCGCGCTGCCCGTGAGTTACTGAACCCGGCTTGTGACCTTGACCATTCTCTGCCTGCTCCTTTGGTACCTTGCTGCCCGCACGTTGCTGACTTGGCCCATCTGACCACGCTAACTACTCTGCCATCCATCCATCCTGCACGGATCCAGTCGTACCTGCACATACCTCTGGCAGATCCCTCTACCACTAGCAGGTGTACTCAGGGGCCGCGACCTGGTTCCTGTCTGCTCCAAGTCCATCCCCACCATCAGGGGCCCTGGTGAATAAGCAGACTGGGACTTAGACTCCGCGCCCTGGGGAATCCTGTCCTGAGGACCGCTAGAGGTACCACCAAACGGTCATTACAGAACCCTACGGCCGGCCTGACCGTTCCACCTCTCCAGCCTGACTACGCCTGTGTTCCTGCACCTCCTAATATTAGTGGAAGGTTGGTTTGCTCACTGTGCCTTTTATATATATATATCTGGAAGGTTGGTTTGCTCACTGTGCATTTATATATATATCTGGAAGGTTGGTTTGCTCACTGTGCGTTTTATATATATATATCTGGGTGGCTAATAAACTGTATTATACTGTACCTGAGGCCTGCGTTTCCCTGTGTCAGTCCACACCTTTCTGGTCACTCCTAGATTCCTGACAGCAGCAGGGGTTGGGCGCCGCGTTCCGTCACATATTGGCTGGCAACGTACAGTAAGTGGGATAGTTCTGCATTAGAGCATTCAGTGCAGTGTTAGGAATTAGCTCTGCAGTGAAGGATTGTAACCTTTGTGGAAACAGTCCTTAGAGACAAGCGGTGTATATTTTTGTTTTTTATAAAAGATACATACAGCAACAGCTGCTGCCAGGGGCAGACTGACCATTTGGAAACTCGGGCACTGCCCGAAGGCCCGGGGTCAGTAGGGGGCCCCATGAGATGCCCCTGGTACCTTTTTCATAGGCTTTTTTGAGTTTGGGCAAGGATACAGGGGCCCCATGATCCCCTATTGCCCGGGGGTCCCATGAGTTGTCAGTCCGCCCCTGGTTGCTTCCTATTTTTTGCTTTCCACAGTATTCTATCTTTTCTTCTTGCAATAATGCCTGGTTTAGCAGAATACAAGAGAATGAGCAAATGATTTATGTGCTGAGTTTGAAGCAAGAGGAATTGACATCGGTGGCAAGAATCGTGAAAGTTTGATTCATGCCCTACAGGAGTATGATATCCGGGCAGACCAGAACCCGGGGGAACCTGAAACTGAAGGGGTTCCTGCCACCTCCAATCCCAGTGGTTCAGGATGGGCAAACAGAGACTGACACTGGAGTACCACAGAATGTCACTTCCACACAGCATGAGCAGGACCAGCACCAGAGTGCCTGTAACCAGCAGAGACTCTCCTCAGATGGAGGAAGCCCTGAAACGCATCATGGAGATGGATCCTCTGGTATACCTCCAGTTTCTTGAATGCCAAGCAGCGGCTAAGAGAGAGAAATGCCAAGCTGACAGAGAGGCTGCTGATTGCTAGCACGAACTGGAGATGGCTAGGTTCCAGCAGCAGCGACAGGCTCAGAACCTCAGGTCCCTAGAGCACAGGGATGCCTCTCTGCCAATGGGCACAGCAGCCAAATTTCCAATAATGGAAAAGGACAGTGACATTGATGTGTATTTACTGTCGTTTGAAAAAACTTGACGTCAGTAGTACCATCTGCCCCAAGCACAATGGGCTCGGTACCTGACACCAGGGCTACAAGGCAAGGCCCTGGATGCCTTTGTCGAATTGCCAGTGGAGCAGGAGGACGATTATGAAGCTCTCAAAGGATGCAATTGTCCGGAAGTATCAGCTAATCCCGGAAGTGTACCGGAAGCGATTTAGGTCCTTGCAGAAGCGACCTGTGGACTCTTATACGGATGTGGTAAGTGGACCAGAGGACTGAAAGCTGACTCATTCACGCCCCTGGAGGATCTCATGGTCCAAGATCAACTGCTGCACCTCTGTCCGGCAGACGTCAGACAGTTTGTGTTGGAGAGAGGACCAGCATCTGCCAAAGCTGCAGCAGAACTGACTGATACCTATGTCCACACATGGGTATCTGACCACCGCAAGGCTCCTCCAAATGGCTGGAAAGGAGGGAAATCACCCATAGCAACCTCTCCTAAATCGGTGAGTCAAGTTTCCCATCACCCAACACCTGCAGTCCCGGGTGTCCCAGCAATCTCCACTGACACTCTCAGATGTTACACCTGTGGGAAACCTGGACATCTCAGGACGCAATGCCGTAAGCAAAAAAAGATGACATCATCTGGCCAGCAGCAACTCTTCTTCAGTGCTGTTTGTCTGCAGGAAAACTCGAGGAACTGCCGCAGACTTGCAGTCAGTCACCGTGGGCAACCGGACCGTAACTGGCTTCCATGACACAGGGGCTGCAGGGTCTGGGTGGCACCAGTAGTTCCGGTCCCTCCTGGGTGACAAGGGTACACTGTGTTTGGTATCCCTAGGGTGCAGCTGAGAGTGGCATTGTTACGCAAGTGACAGCACGGTGCGAGATTAGCTGGTCCTTTGGTCACGAGTTGGTGAGAAGGGCAGGGGTCGGGTGCAGCGTTCTGTCACAATCAGTGCTAATAAAAAGCACTGACACTGTACTAATGGCACTGGGCAGGAATGGGTTAACATGTGTAGCGAGCAAAGGGTTAACTGTGTGCTGTGTGCCATTTTACTTTGTGTCCTGTGTTTGTGCTTCACTGTAAGCACACTGCTTTGCATGGAAGTGCTATGCACAGCCATGCAAAGCAGTGTGCAGGAGCTGACAGGGGAGAAAACTGTTTTGTTTACAAACAGTTCTTCCCTCCATCGGAGATGCTCACTGAGCGCCTGCGAATAATCACCAGCCGGGACCCAATGATTGACAGCTGAGGCAGCGAATGGCTGCGCAGGTCCCTCCTAACCCTCTTGTATTGAATTGTATTTTTGCTGTACTGTCTCCCTTTATATTGTAAAGCACTGAGCAAACTGTTGGCGCTCTATAAATCCTGTATAATAATAATAATAATAGCTGGAGATGGAGGCTTCCTGGGCTGCTATCTTCTCTGCCTCATTTTCAACTGCTGGATCAGCTAGGAACCACCTGTGGGAGGAAGGGCAAACTCCAGCTCAAGCTGCAAGAGCATAATTGACATGCATGGGAGTGACATAATCTATGGCCAGCCAATAGAAATGGGTGGGGATCCATACCTGTAAGCAGACCGGTCAAAGATGTCAGCTGCCCTTAGAGAGCTCCAGGACACCATAGTGCTGGAGAGAAGGTGAGTATAATTCTGCTTTAAAAACTATTTTCATAGAGTCAGTTGCCTCACAGACCTGCTTTGGGAGAGAGTACAGTTAACCGCTTCCCGAGCTCCCTATTGTAGGAATACTGCTACAGGGTGGCAGGGCTGCGCAAAAGTATGTATATATATGTGATGTTTCATCTCTGGGTAGGGGGCGCGCGCGCCATTATTGGTGGCTACAGCTGTCGATCGCTGGGTCCTGGCTGGAGATTCCCCTCCAGCACCCAGCGATCACCAAGGAACACTGACAGGGGAGAGGTCTGTATAACACAGATCTTTCCCCTGTCAGCACCAGCATGCTACCTTGTATTGCTCTGCATAGTAGAGCAATACAAAGCAGCATGCTTACATAGTAAAATACACATAGCACACATAGTAAAGCAGCACACGGCACACGGTTAACCCTTTGAGCGCCCCAGATGTTAACTCCTTCCGGCCCAGTGTCATTAGTACAGTGTCATTAGTACAGTGTCAGTGCTTTTTATTAGCACTGATCACTGTATTAGTGTCACTGGGGATTTCAGTGGCAGTTAGTAAGTTCCCCCCCAGTGTCAGAATGCCCATCGCAGTCCCGCTATAAGTCGCTGAACGCCACCATTACTAGCATAAAAAAATAAAAATTCCAGTATATATACCGCCATTTGTAGACGCTATAACTTTCATGTAAACCAATTAATTAAGTCCCCCTGGAAACTGGAAGTCATTGTAATATGCACCCCTACTAAAGTGACTGCTGTTGACCTCCAGGACCTGTGCTACCCTCCTGCTTATTCAACACAGGAGGATGCATACTTGACTTAGGTACCATTGAGAGAAAATTTGCATTCTTTGATTGGAAGAGGTGGAGATCATGATGTCATTGCCCCACCTCTTCCAATCAGCTTTGCATTCATTGAAAAAAATGCAAAGTTTTCTCTGAATGGCATCCAAGCTGAGGAAGTAATTTCCCGCGTTCATTAACCAGCAGAGCACCTGCTTGGTACTGACCTGGAAGCCAGAGGTAATCAGTGTAGTAAAGGAGAGAAATTTCAGGTATGGCACATACACACTTACATTGTTCCAAGCTGGACCAATGTAACTATGCAAAAATAGCCATAACTGGAAATTGACTTTAAGCACAAACATTGTGTAGCACTACAAGCAGGAAGCAGAGCCTACATATGTAATGCACTAATATGGCCCATGTAAATATAATAATAAATTATACATAGCAACAAGGTTTTTAAAACATTAACGTGTATTGATAGGATTACTTGCATTAGGATGATGTCTTTTACGTACATATCTAATAAAACAATTGAAAAGAATTTACGTTCCCATTACATGGTTAAGGAGTATTTTGTGCACCGTTCCACCTGCAGCCACCTATGTGTTTTATTTCTCCCCTCCACATGAGTCCCATACCTGTGGAGCAATTTAACACTGCTCAACAAAAAAGACTGATTGCTCTACTGCATGCAGTGCCTGTGTGAACCCGGCCTTAATGCGCAAACGGAAATTCCAGTAGTGATTTTCGGTTAATGAATACAACCTCTAAAACAAAATTTGTTTAATTCCTTTATTGATATAGAAAATCAAATATATATAGACTGTATATTTGGCCCATAAGACTTGCCTCAATCGATTCCCCTTGCATGTAATGGTTGCCCTGCACTGCTGTTATAATACAATGTGATAAATAAGTGTTACTATAAAGGGCTAACACGGCGATCATGTTGTTACTCACACAGGGAGGCTTCTTTCACAGGTTAGCACTACAATTATCACAATAACTGCGGGCTGTTACTACCAGGGCGTCCCTTGCTCCCTAAACAGACCAGGCGTCCGTCCAAGTGTCTCATGTCATTTGTTCTTTCTTCCCACAACAGGTAGTCATTCTCCAAGCACACTGAGCTGAATTCTGGAATGTAGAAATAGGTCATTTATATCCTCCTACATTGCATGCCATTAGTTCTCAATTGCTTTTCAGTAGAGATAAGAAATACAGAAATCTAGATAATATTACAGCAAGTATTTTTTTTTTTTTTAACTATTATGATTTCCTCATTGCAATAGCGACGTAGGCTATCATAGGGAATTACAAAAAACATGATATAGCTCACACTGCCTGGGATACCAGTAGGGTCCATCAACCATTATATTCTATAATCCTTTTATAACATTAAAGACATTTTACACTTGTAGCGCTCACACCCCCGAAGGAGCCGCTGGAATTAAAGGACACTTCTGTCCTTACTTCAGTGAAGAACCATATACAGTATATATTGGATCCACAGCACACGAGTACACCCTGTGGGATGTTTTTATAACAGGTTTAATACGACAGGTAAAACTATGCAAATAGACTGAAAATTAACTTGGAAAATAGCAGTTAAATGCACTGAATACACAAACCTTCTAGAATTGGCACAATAACATCAATAAACACAATAATCATGTATATACGTATATACCGGTATAGCTATAGATCCGAATTAACTCCCTGCAACTATAGCAGCATTATATCCCCAGCTAAACTGACATCTCTTTAGGCTCAGTCCCAAATTCACTTGTATACTCGGTGGAGCACTCTTAAAGACTGGCATTTCACTGGTTAGCAGTTGTTCATCACATCTAAGAACAGTCTCCCGGGGTTAACTCCTTGAAGGGATGATAAATGTGGCTCTATCTCTCTGGCTAGTTTTTTTCTGTTGTCAATTGTTGATACTGCACAATCTCTGAG